CTCAGCCCCAGGTTCTCTAGGCAACGACAGCACCAAGTGCCTGGTCTCGGACCCCCGGGTGCCTCCAGCCCCTCATTGTGGCCTCTGGCCAGCTCTTGCCCGGCCACTGACTCACACCCAGCCTTTCCGCCCCGGCGGGGGGGTCACGGTGCCCCCACGGCTCAAGCCTTCCTGGGGAGGAGGCGGCCGTGACACCCGCCTTATCCCAGCGCAGGAAGCGCCTCTAAAATTAAACCTCGCCGGGAGTCAAGGTCACGGTGCTGGGCGTGCTCCGTGCGCCACGCTCGTACCCCCGGGACCCCCGAATCGGGGGGGGGGAGGGTGGGGGGCCAGTTTCGGGTGCAGCCCCCTTGGGGGGAGGTGGATGCGCCCCCCTGGCAAAGCGCTGGTGGCTCTGCCGACTCAGCAGCCGCGGGGCCGGCTTTCCGATGGGAAACCAGCACGGAGGAGCGGGGGGAAAAAACAACACTGGCAGCCCCGGGGATTGTCAGGGGGAATTTGCTGAGCTGCTGTCTCCAAACACAAGGGCTGCCGGCGGCACCCACCCCTCCCTGCCTCCCCCCCGGGGGCAGAGCCCCTTCCCGGGGACGGGGCCATGGGTAGCCCAGGGGATGGTGAATGGTTGGGTCAAGCCGTGGGATGGACAGGCTCATCCCTTGCTGTGCCTCAGTTTCCCCCCCCTCAGTGCCCCGGCGACTCACGTGCATCTCGTTCATGTTCATGACGGTGGGAGAGGGTCGGAAGGTGCCCAGGCGGTACCGGATCCCGTCCTCCAGCGTCATGCCCCAAAACTGGCTGTAGTTGGCGGCTCTCCAGCTGCACGGGAGGAGGGGGCACGGGTTCAGGGGTGCCCCCGAAAAGCACCGAGGGGCGAAGCGTCCCTTCCCCATCCTCCCCGAGCCCCGTCCTTACCCGTAATTGCCCCTGTTGACGGCGTCGATCAGGTCCCCGTCCATCAGGCAGGCATGGTCCTCGCACTGCCACTGCCCACCGGGGCCACAGGTGCTGCAGGGGGGGACAGTCAGTCAGGGGGGGACAGGGTCCCCTGTCGTATTGTGTCCCCCCACCTCCAGCCAGGGACCCAGTGCTAGTGAAGGGCTGGGGCTGCTTCTGCACCAGGATTTGGGGGGGTCACACCACGACTGGGCACCTCGGGATGGGGTGAAGCCAGGCCAGGAGCCAGCGGGCGGCCTTCTGCGTGGCCCTGGGGGTGTCCATCCCAACCCCCCCAGCCCCGGTCCCTGTAGGAGCCCGGAGGGCAGACAGAGCATGGGACAGAAAACCAACTGAAAAGCAGCCAGGGCTGCAGACATTAGAGGAGAACTTGGACACCAGCCCGGGGAGGGGATGTGGGGCTGGATGTGCCCCCCTCCTGGGGCGGGCTGCTCTGGCCAGCTCGGCCGGGAGCCCTGTGGCCCCGACGGGAGACTCGGGGCAGGGGGTGGCTGGGGGGGGGATGTAGCGGGTGCGGGTGGTCCTGGGGAGCCCTGGGCTGTGCTCCCCCCGTGCGGCGAGCAATGCTTGGCATCCTCCCTCCTGCCCGCCCCGCGCCGGGACACTCTGCCCTTTTAAGGAACAGCGTGAGGCCGGAGCCGTGTCCCGCAGCCTGGTCCTGAGCCCCCCCCAGAGCCGTGTCCTGCAGCCTGGTCCCCAGCCCCCCCAGAGCCGTGTCCCACAGCCTGGTCCCCAACCCCCCAGAGCCGTGTCCCACAGCCTGGTCCTGAGCCCCCCCAGAGCTGTGTCC